CCCCCCCCCCCCAACCACCGCCAAAAAAAAGAGTTTCACCTTTCCCCAAGGTGAAATTCAGGAAAAGACTCCTATAGTGCAAGCTAGGTTTCCCAAGAGTTCTTGAAGTCCAGGTAGGGATAGCAATGGATAATGACCCAATGGATACCCACAAAAATTATTGCCCGCAAAATCCAATAGGAACGAATGCATGTATCTTAGTATCCACCCTACCCCATACTCACCCACAAAATAAAATTTACAGAAAACTAGGAACCATTTACCTTTATTTCTTATATGGTTGAAAGATGAAAAAGAACAAGGAATAAAGATTTATTACATTCTTTTTGGGTTTATCAAGTCACCCGTTATCGAGCAGTTATCAGACTACCCGCAAATGTCTAACTCTACAAACTTAATGCTCGAGATATTCAGTCCTTGACATGAGGGGATCACACATCGAATAGTGGTATGCCTAAAATAGAGTATATAAGTGACAAACAATTCACAACTTACAAGCCAGTTTCATAATGTTGCCTTAGGCCCAAATCCAATTTCTTAAGACATCCTATTCGATAAAATCTTTTTTTTTTCATTCCCATTCCTAATTCTTGGTCTAGCACCTTGCTAATAATGTATCTTTCTAGTGTCATTTGTTTGACTTCCTCCACATAGGACAGAACTGTAGTTCCCATAAGCAAGGATAGGGGATCCCTCAATACAGAGCCTCAGACTGTATTTGGTATAATAGCAGCTACAGTGCAGCAATGGCATTTGGTATTTTAGTAGAACCTTGCCTAGCTTAACCAACAAGGCAATTGTCTATGCTTGCCGATGCCACTTACTAAGCACCTTAAGTAGGTCTCAAACTTGTGTCAACCCTCCTGAAACTTTCAAAAATTTGCTCCCTTTTGTTGCGTTGTTCCTTCACAAAATCCAGCCCTTTTCCCATTGTGTCTTCATCATAAACACCTCCTTCTCTGGCTTAGTCTCCAACATGCATTTTACTACCATGTTTAAACAGTTTTCTAGCTATTATTTCATCCTTCAAATATTCCTTGACCATGTTCTTCATTCTGACCATCTCTTCCTTGGTTTCTTATACCACTATGACATCTCGAGCATTTTCTAACACCTATGTTTCTCTGCCGTTTTTGATCTCCTTCAAAGCATTTCAAGTAGTGCAAGGCTATTGTTGCCAATCCGCTATTGCCATATCATCATTCCAGCAAGTTTAGACCTATATTTTGACATCCATGACCTTTTCCAGTGTTTTACATCACTATTGAGTTCATTTTCTCTCTCCTTGTTGACTCATAACCTCTGCCACCCAGATCTGCCCTCTTTGGATCAAATCATGTACTGTGAGATTAGGCATATCAACATAGCCACATGACTTTCCTAGGGATATGAGCCTAGCTATGTTGCTTTTCCCAGAGAAATCAGTCTAGTCCCCCAACTTTACAATAAGCATCAGTTGGCCCCATGGCTTTCCCAAAGATATCAGTCTGCTCTGCTCTCACGGTTTTCCCAAAGATATAAGCTTGGTCAGGTGGCACTGTGATACCCCCAAAGAATCATCCTAGTTCCTCCATTCAATAGTCTCAAATTGTATAGTTTGATTTCTTTTATTTAAAGAAACTGTTTTTAACAAGCTTACAGTTGAGTAAGCTTTAGCTTGAAGGGGAGTGTTGGAATATATTATAAGAAAATATCTCATTATATCTTAGATTATCCTCTAGGATTAGTTTCCCTGTTTCCTCATTATCTCCCAGGATTAATTATCATATTTCCTTATATGTTTTGTTTCCTTAATTAGTTAGGATTATGATTAGTATAATTTGTATTTCATTCTCCTTTATCTTTCTTCCTCTCTCAATACCAAATACCCCATAATTTCAACTTACGTAAAAGAGCAGAGTTTCACATACCATTTGATACTTTCTTGTCTAGACATTAACTATAGAAAAAAACTATAAAAAAAAAATTAAAAAAATAAAAATAAAAAAGTTATAAAATAATCTCCAGACAGCTTCAAGAGGAATCTTCTTTTCCAAATAGGTTTAGCCTTTTACATTTCTTTTTCTAGAAGACACTCACCAAGGGTTTTTTCTTTGCACTTCTTAAATCTACCAAAATTTTCACATGTCTCTCCTTACATCCCTGTATACACATACTTAAGATTTTAAGGAAGGAAAGAATATTTCAGAGGATACTTGAGTGAAAAATACACTCAACCTAAGGAACATATATACAGAATAATCACACAGGAAAAGAATTGAAAAATAAATACAAGATCTTCATTTTCTAAGTTACTATGAATCTAGTCTTGGACAGTGGAACAGGTTTATTATTACGTAATTTGCAACATACATTTCATAAACTATGGATTTGCTTCATGATTTCCTCTAAGACAAATAATATAAAATAACTATACATGTAGAAACAAAACCCAAACATAAGCAAGCAAAATGAACTTCAGCACAACCAATTGAAATTGATACTAAGGAAATTAGAAGCTTGTTATCTATTAAACAAGCATTCAAGTCAAAGACAAGGTGGTACCTGTGTTAAACACATGTTCAGCATTTTTAATTTGGAAAGATTCCAAAGCCTTCAATGTATGATGAAGTTTATCTTTCAGCTGCCCAAGCGTAATGGCAAACTCAGCACTATCCGGCGCGGACTGCTGCTTCAACTGCACCCATAAAATACATGTTCTTACTTTAAATCGTTTTACATGAACTTTACAAAAGCTAATATAAAGTTTAAAAAAATTGTTACAATGAACTGTGGAAGGGAAAGCTAATACATGTTTCATGAGTTACAAATAATGCCTTCATAAAAAGTCAGTTAAAGACGGGGAAAATGAATTTAAACAAATATACAATACCTCTTCTGGCCAATTAGAACTTTCAAGTAAGTAAATTGTTTCTTCAATGTACTCTCGGTTCTTCCACATGTTCTCATCAATTTTATGCGGAGGTTGCTGGGCAGCTTCATTTATTAAGTCACTTTCTCCTGGAACGACATCAACTACCAAATAAGGTTCGAAAGCAAAATATTCGTGCTCAAAGACAAAGGAAGTTAAAGTCTTAAAGAAGAACCATATTCAAGAATTTTGCTTTACCTTTACTTTTAGCATAAAAATTTGTACTAGTTATTTTACATATCTCCTAAGACCTATTTGGTGCGAAACCAACACTGCAATGTTTACATTATGTGGAATGGCTAACAAAATTTTGTGAGAACATGCAAAGATCCTATACTCTCGGACAATCTAACAAAAAAAATCCTTGCAAGTAGACCAAAACCTTAAAGTCACAAAAGACGTATTCAGACACAACATAATAGAAATAAAATAAAAAGAAGAAAGGAAAGAGACCTTGGATAGGAGGACGATGATTGAGCAAATCAGTGGCCATTGAACGAATCTGAGAAGAAAGGCGAGAGACGTCAGCAGAAAGAGGAGTGAAAGGGTGTTTGTCGTAATAAGACGCCAGAAAGGCCCTGGTTATGGGCACCAGACCCTCTGTAGAAGCCATCGGAATCGGAGAATCGGATCGGATCGGAACGGATCTCCCTGTCTTCTTCTATTTGCTCTAATTTTTATTCCTTTCGAATATTCTATTCTGTTTAGTGTTTAGTCCATGCTCCAACCGGAAGTCGCCGACTCTATACAACAACTGTCAACGCTACATGACTAGGCTTCGCTCCACCAACAAATCCAGTTTTATTCCTTTTTTTTTAGGGAAATCCAGTTTTATTCCTATTCTTTATTTTTAGGGTACATTTAGACGAAGAAAATTTTTAAGTTGTCATTTGATTTCATGGAAAATTATAAATTCAATTATTTTGGTTTAGATTTTTTTTTATTTATTGAGGTTGTGTATGAAAGAAAAAAGTTTTAATTTTTTGAAATTTTTTAATTTAAATTACTTTTTATTAAATATTTTAAATATCTAGAATTTTAATTTTTTTTATTTTGTTAGGATAATTTAATTTTGTACAAATATTTTAGCATGTGTGTTTATTATGTATAACTAAAATTTATAATAAATTATATGTACAAATAAATACTATTTTTAAATATATAAATTAGTGTACTAACATGTGATATTCTTCTAGCTGGTCCGAATTTTAAGTTGGATCTGTTATGCAGTCAATCCGTTTCAAACCAGATTGAACTAGTCAATTTTCCGGTGTACTGGTGGGTCAAACCGGTTCAACCACTTTTTTTCTTATTTTTTCTAAATTTTTTTAAGGGACCATAAACTATAAAAATAATAATGAAAATTGAATCTCTTAATGGAAGAACAAAGATTTTTATTAAATATAACAATGACTACTTGTTCTAATGTATTTATTTATAATATATACAACTTAAATAATTTTTATAGTATATTTAATTTTAAATTATATATTTAATAATATAATATCTATGTAAATATTACATATATTATTTTGTGATATCAATTGCAAGCATATTATATATGCACATATTATTTATATTTTTAATTTGTATTAATATACAGTTTAACATGTAATTTTTTATATATTTTTTTACAAAATAAAAATAAAAATAATTTTAAATAAGATAGAAATTGAAATTTAAAATAAGATATGAATTTATTAAAATTTATAAGTATAAAATATATTTAATATGAATATTTTTTTA